TACTAAGTTGAACGCAATTAATCTATAAAGAAAATGACAATTAATTAAATAAATTGACAGTTGCATTTCTAACAGGAAAATAAGGTCTTCATTTAGTACGAACATCGTAACCTTAATAAATCCGGATTTAGACTTAATTTGTTGAGTTTATAGTAAATTTAGCATGAAATGACTTGCTCTGCATTTTATCTATAACAAATCGATCTACTTATCAAATAAAGATCGATTTAATTCCATCTCAGAGACACCGCCTGTCGATTTAAATACCATAACAATGATTTACGCATTTCGTTCGTCGTAAATATTAATTTTACGGCACAAATATTACAGTTTATGGATATTTAATAGCAGCTGTAAACCAATATAAAAGATAAAATATTTTTCTTTTAAATACTTACTGCAATTTGAAATAAATTTTAAAGTTATAAATGTAATAAACTACTTCCTATTTACCTTTTAAAAAGTTGCAGGAAAAAAAGAAGAAGAAAACAAATCTAAACTGTACGTAAAAATGCAGAGCTTCCATTAAAGAAACTTAATTGGTACAACTGGTCCGTCAACTTGAAGTAACCTTTATGTAGGGACAACCGTATGTCTATTACAAGTAGAAATGAACGAGTACTTGCATCGTACTTAGAGGCCCACGCAGATCCATTCAGCAGAACAGGTCTGCGGCGCTGCTCAACGGAACAGGTCCGAAGCGACGTGACAATGAACTCACAACGTCATTCACTGAACACTGGAGCACTATTTCTCTAGAATTATTTTTATGACTTCGTCCGTGTTGTGTTCAATAAATGAGTAACATAGCCTATGTTATTGATAACGTAGCTTTTTAATGGTACAAATATTTTTGAAATCGGTCCAGTAGTTTTTGGTTTATTAGTATAGTCTAGATTTACAATTCAAATGAGAATCGGTAAATGATGTTCTTAAGCACATAATAAATAGATATTTTTTATATTTATAATTTACAAATAATATTTTATAAAGAAAGTATTTCAATCAGTATGTTCTTGATATGCAACATCGGTGCGTTACGGTGTTGAGTGCGCTGGTCGGCTCAATGAACACGACAGGGCGCGTCTTCCGCCCCGCACGCCCCAGCCCGCCTAGCGACCTAGCGACTAACGACTAGCGACTAGCAGTAAGTCATGAGACATCGATACCAAAGTATAATCGAATCATATTTATTAATTGATTCTAACGTAATTGTATGTGGATATTTTAACTTGTATTGAACTGCAAATTTCAATTACAAAGTTTGTTATACAATGGATTCTTTCCACGCTTGGCTTTATTGAGTTCCCGATATTTCAACGCAGTGGCATCCGCGATGGTCGCTGGTTGACATTTGTAAAACATTTAACAAGTTTCATTGTTTATAGATGAAATTCATTTCACTTATCCGCTCATAACTTGCACCACACCTCATTCAGTGTAGTATTGTAAATAGAACACAGTACGTTCAACATCCGGTCAAACGAAACTGACATCTATGACCTTTTCATAAAGTCTACATCGGCTGCATATTGAAATATGTCTCTGTGTTTACATCGTATCAGATTTTTTCCACGGAAGCGCGACGCGACGGTAACCAGAAACGAAAGATTTGCTTTTGTTATTTCTACTATTTACAGAGACAGAGTTTCAACACGTTTACGTTGAGGCAGTCCTTGTATACTCGTCCACTCGACACACCCCGTATTAAGTACCAAAGATGTCCCTCCTTTGTACCGTTTACAAGTAAATTGAAACGAGTATAAGTAGTAAGTAGTAGTTAACAAAATCCATAGAAGAATGACGTCACCGTATCCGGTAACAAAATAGTATCAATATCCGTATAACAGCTATTTCCGTGCGTCTAAACAAACGTAACGAAATGTGAGAGAGGAAAGGAAAGCGAAGTGGCTTGCGGTAGTCGTAAACAGGGCAGCTAAAGGCGTGCGGGCTGCGGCTTCCTGTGTTAGGAAACGCAGTTTCTAACCCGAGGTAAGTTGCGGGTGGTCAGAGTTGAAAATAACCCGTGTTTATAACTTTTCAAGAAACGGTCTGGCCGCAACATGATTCATCGAAGTTAACACAAATAGTTAACAATCGACTGACCAGTTCCCGGGTCAACAGCACTGTAATTGGCCACTCATCTATTAAACTTGTTGACAATTGCGGCGTCCTCTTGCTGCTGTCAATTGATTTCTTCTCCTGTTATCCTGTGAATTGTGTGCGCAGGTCAGGAGCGGTTGGTGCTGCTGACGTCAACGACACGCTGTGTTAGCGCTTATTTATTTTATTTTTATTTATTATTTTATTTAAAAGCCACTCAGCACATGTGCTGATCTTCCGTGGTTGTAGAAAATAGATGGCACACATGGTTTTAAAATGCATTTCATACTCATTATAAAGAAATGTGGCTGCGGAGATAATATTTACATGAATATCTTATAACGCTTTTTATAATGTTGTCGTTATTGATGGTTAAGTATGCTTGATTTAAACAATTTTATAATATTTCTAATACAATGGACATTTTTATAATACTGGTACTGCTAGTATATGTATGTATTTATATACTTTAATGTTTGAAATCACGATTTTATAGCAATGATGCGTACGAACATTTCATTAGAATTTGTTTAGATTTCGTCGTACAATTGTTAAGATTACATTTGGTTTAAATTATGTCCACGTTAGTAAGTGGGCAGTTGTGAGAAGGTTTATCCGCTAACAATGTGGTAAGTGGCGCGATGGGCTGATAAACAATTTATTGTTAGAGTGAGGTACTGCGAGTGCCGGCTGCGGGGGGGAGCTGGGGGAGGGGCGAGGCGGCGGGAATGCAATTATCCAATTAAAGAGTCTAGCACCGACTTGCTGAGGGAGCAACGCTCTCCTGCGACCCGACGCGACATACAATCTTATCCTGAGGGAAACTTGACAACAAATGCTTATCAATTAATCGAGAATTCATTTCAGATGTGTCTTAAGGCGTAATCTAGATAAACTCAGTAGTTAATCTAAGATAAGACAATGTAACTAAAACACTTTAGTTGATTTATTCATTGATCTTTCTATGACAGGAGCGGAAACAAAAAATCGATAAACATGAAGCGCTGTTCATTTTAGTATCGCGTGGTGCTTCCCCATAAATTAATCTTTACCCCTCCCTGTATAAGTTATTCGATAACTTACAAATGCACTTTAATGTCCATAAAAGGGACTACGTCGGATAATGTTCGTTTGAAACGATACGACGGTGGTCTGTTGTGCGGTGCCGGCTCGTCCCAGCACGTTTTTTATCGACTTCGGTAGTTCAAGCAGCAAGTTTGGGGACCGAAAGACACGCGATACAATATCTACTTAGTTACTTGAACATGCAATATTTGAGACATCAGAAATTAAGGAAGACAGTCGTTATTTTTTTGTATTATAACAACCTATAAAACAATATGATGCTGTTGGAAAACAACTTCATTTTAGGATAAACTTTTACATGGATATCAAATTCTATAAATAAAAGCTTACATGTCTCTAGTAGCGATAGTAATTCCGCGCGTGCGCAACATCTCCCACACGCGAGCGGCAAAGACACAAAGGCGCCGCCGCACGAGAGACACGCGGGGCGTTTGATGTCGCCGCCGCACTCATCCCGCGCCAGTTCAAGGCTTCGTCTCCACTCGTGATCTACTAAAGTTGCTTTACTTCCATAAGTGGATATGAAAGGGTCCCGCGCTCCGCAACGGAAATATCTCTTTTATTTACTTCGACGTTTACGATCACATTCTGCAATCGTATAACATAACTAGCTAATAGTCATAAACTCTGAGATAGTGAATCTTTTTTATATTATCTTGGCATTAAGTCGTCCATATCCCACAGATTGCATGTAAATCAAAATTGTTTCATTCAAACTAAAGGCGTTTCTGTTAAATAAAACTTGTTCATATGTTTTCCTTTACTACGCGGGAGCAAGATGTTTGTAATAACGATAATCAGTATTGCACAAGTACCACATGATTTCTAACATAAAGTATTCCCCACACGGCGCGGTGGTGCGCGGCTGCGGGAGGAAAGCGGCATCGCACCCGCACATCTGCGGAGAAAGTCGCAGCCGCGGCGCGTGTGGCCCCACCTTATGTAACTGGGATTATACCGTCATGTGTGCCTTACTGGTAGGACATGACACTTTGAGTTTTTAATGTCTAGATCTTCTTTTGTAATTTTATCATTACAAATACTGCGTAATATTTACAAGTAATATGCCTCGTAACTTAATATGTTAAACAGATGATAATTCAATGAGTAGGTATGCTCAACATAAAAACTGATTTCCGATAGCGATGCTTTATAAATACTTTTTGTAAAAATTTAATTACGTCTCGAGCGTTGTCGGTGTACAAAATCCCCGTAGCTTTTGTTTTATAATTGTAATGTGAAACGGCCTTCGAAATGATTTTGGAAGAAACGAAGAAAGGAATGAAGCCGCCTCTCGCATGCAAATTTAATAAGCTTCGAGAAAATTGTTATTGGCGATCGAAGTATGTGCCAAAACTTAAGGCCAAGTGTATTGTAAATGATCTTAACAATTTATTATAAGTTGCCCGAAGGGAATTGAGGCGTAGATAGTATTGCGCCCATTTATCTCGGCAAGGGCCTCGCATGTCGTCGCGAAGGTCGGCCCATAGAGTCTTTAATTTTAAACAGCTTACAATCGGCGACCGCTTAAAGTAGATGACGCATAAATAAAGCCGCATTAATTTTAACAAGACTTAAATGGCGAGACGACAGCTCGATAATGAACAGTTATTGGTTTAACAAAAAATGATTATGAAAAAAAAATCAAAACACTCCGAGCATTTTTTAATAGCTTTAAATGTTACAGTTAAATGAGCAACCATGAATAATGAAGCCACTAATTACCGAGCTCATTACACTGATGTTCCAAATTACGTCACACAGCTATTACATTGTCTTGGGTAGGCAGTGACCAGAGTGTTGTGTTGCAGATAGCTCGGCCGGCACCGGCATGGCGTACTACCGCTGCGGACCGACGGCCATCGGCAGCCGCGCCTCCTGGTCGGTGACGTCGCCTACCGACCAGAACACCTTCGAGCGGCCGCTCAGTGGGAACTTCGACAGGATCTTTAATGCGTTTGAGAGGACTAATGCGTTCGAGTACGTGCGCAGTACTTTTGAGGGAGGGTCGGAGGAGCGTGGCGCGGGGCGGGCTGAGGCGCTGGTGCGGCGCGTGAGCAGTAGCTATGAGCGCGCCGACTGCGCACTGGCGGCGCAGGCCCCCAGCGCTGCCGACGAGGACTACTACAGGGAGAAGATTCTGTACTCGCAGGCGAGGCAACTCTTCCCGCTGCAGGAGGACCTCGCCGACTGGATCAATAAAACTATCGGTGAGTTTTATTACCATTTTAATATGGAAAGGTTTTAGGTAACGCCGCATCATAATTCTTTTTGATGTTAAATGATGTCATTATACGTTCTTTATTATACACTCTTCTGGCGCTACACTTATGTAACACTGGTCAACTTTTCACTTAGTTTTTCTATATTGAACTTCGTATTTTATTTATAATCTCGATTTAACGGTCAACTATAAAACAAGGTCTGACTGTAAGTGCAAGCGGCGCATTGCGGCCACCACGGCAGCGACCCACATACACATAAATGATCTCAAACTCTCAATACACCCGTTCCGTGTCTAACAAACTTTATTCATTAAAAAAACGATCATTGCAGAAAACATACCTAAGTACACTTAACTAGCAGGAAATAGTTAGGGAAATACGTCAAAGTTATAATATTCCTAGAAGTGTAATTACATTCCCACACCTACGTTACATATTAATTAAACGCGGTTTATAATTAGATTATCGTTTAAAACATTCATTTTATAAAGTTAAATTTAATGTTATAAGTACCTATCGTAATTAACTTAACGTTTAAGCAATTATTCATTAAGTAATTAAAAAGAAATTCTACATTGATTAAGTAAAGATGCATCAATATCACAAGCACCAATAACTGCGTTTTAACAGATTTAACTTTTTTATTATATAAAAATCGAAATATTAAAGTATTTAGTAAATAAGCGGGTTATTATATGTTAAACTTGTACACTTCGTAAAATGTACAATTTATTGTTAAATTCTTGGATATGCTCAAATACCGAGCATTTCAAAGTCATAATTTTCAAGACGATTAACCTCGTTTTTAAAACACCTTTTTATAAATAAAATCGACAAATATACAAGGACACAAACTTTCGCTAAGTACAGTAAGTGTACTATAAACCCTTCTCAATAAAAAATCAATGTTATCTTGAAATTATACAAGGTAAAGACGGAATTAAACGAACTGATTTTATCAAAGTACTAAAGATTTTATTTGACATTTTTAGTCACCACGTTTTAAAAATAAAATTGAAATCTCTAAATAAAATCTTTTCTTGCTTAAGCATAAACTTACTTTTGGAATTCAAGTTCAAAGATTCAAAGTAATAAGCAAATAGTCTTAATGTGAACTAAAAATTAACTCTAATAATATTAACACCGTTAACTCGTAGGTCCAGTGTCCACTAGCAGTATTTCATTGGTTTATTAGTGCGCGTAATTTGATGGATCCCGCCCACACTAATGTTACGCAACGCACAACGCACGTGTGGTGTGGCGCGGCTAATTGGTAAATACAACCTTTGTGCTCACAGCCAGCGCGGCTGACAGGGCCACACTGGAGCGACTAGGGTTACCATACTAAAATACTGCTATCTTACTCTCTACGTCTTTGATAAATGATTCTTTGATTTATTACCGTATTTAGAACGTTAAAGTGTTTTATAGAAATATAGCAAAGTCCTATGAATTAATATATTTTTACGGTACTAAAAGAAAAACAAACCTTTTCTAAAATTGTGAATTTGATTATTAACATAATCCCTAACCACGCTAAGGGTATCCACAAAATTTGGAGAAAAAGTCGAAATAATAACTAATTCATAGACTTTCCGTGTTATCACAAAATCATGGGACGCGTGGATATTCTGTCGCAAACGCCGGCGCCTTAATTCAGTCACGTTCAGTCAGTTTTCATTAAGCAGACATTAACCAGTAAAAATATGCCTAATAATTTAGCCTTTTAAGTCTAGATATTTGCCTGTTCCTTCGTAGTTATCTGCTAATTAATATATCCGCAATGTAACATCTGTTACCATCAGCATCTTTCTCACGTTACTGTATCCCAAAGAATTATCTTCCTGGAGGAAATCTCTGTAATTATTAACCGGTTAATCGACCATATGTCGCCCACTGCCACCTGGTGGGAACAAGTTCACACGAAAATTAGCAATTTGATACTACTCTAATTTTTTGTAGCAAAAAAGCACCACGCCTTTTATTTGCTTGAATATTTTTAAATTTGGTAACAAACCCTTTGACGCATTTTGCAAAAAGTCTTGACATAAAATTACGATAACTTAGATCGTCTGAAAATATCTTTGAGTAGCAATCTCTGTGGCGCAAAATAGTCGTACGTAGATTTCTTAAGTAAACATTCATCCAACGAAGACATAAATGTGTTACATCAAAGAAACGTATAATATTAATGTAACTATCAATCGATGTAATGTTTGTCGAGGAAAGTGCAGCGCGCTCTACCCTGTCACGACAGCGCCATTACCCTGCCGTCTCCCGCGCAATTATACGTCTCTCCTCTGCATTATTGACAATGATAGCTCTCACTACCATCACTGCAATATAAAGCTAATGTTTTGAACAAGAAATGTCATAAAATACGGAGACGGGCCAATGCAATCTAGACAGTTAACAATAACCGTTATTTTATGTAAGTTAACGATTCTATTTGAATAATATTTAGAATTAAACAAACACTTCCTGGTGGGCTCAATAGTCATTAACTAATCCAATTGGAAATCCCTAACGATAGCTTTATTATACTTAATCTAACACTAAGGGAGACCATATCACTACTGTCAACTATATTACTTGAGGCACCAAATTATTACGAACCTACATTTCATTTAATAAACAATAAATAGTATGCAAGCATTCGATACGTTGCGGACAGTAGTCCAGCTTTGGTGCGCTGAGTCAGCAAGCTCGGCGGGTGCGCACCCGCGGACTCGCCGGTCTCCAGTGGCTATAAATACCGACACACTACCGCTGCTCTCTGCACTATGAATATCTAATATTATTACGATGCAAGGTGAAAGCGGCAGCGATATTACTTACGATATGTAAGTTAATTTAACATAGCAGTAGTTAAAAGTTTAACTTTAAAAGGCATTAGTTAAATTGCTGTTGTTAAATGTTACTATCGTCTAGTCTCCTAGTCTCCAATAGCTTTGGTCTGTGCAAACGCTTATCCGCTTGATCTCTTGTCTTGGACCACTAGCTTCGCGGTGGGCTTAACATTTATTGTAATTCGTACACAAAGCCTCACTTCGGGGCCTGGGGACGCATTGACACGTACTTAAACCTATTTGTACAACAAACCGTTACCTTAGATATGGTGTGCGTATTTAATATGCAACATATGAAATGTCGTAAATAAATAGGTTTTTAATTAACTGAAGTAGAATAAAACATGTGGCCTCTCATGAAAATATCAGCCAACTGGTTGTATTGCGAAGGCTAACAGCTCGCGGGACCACCGGCGCAGACGACCGGCTTGTCAGACTTACTGACTATACCTAACAAGGGTGAATCAGTTACCGAAGTGAAGGTTAAAAGATTCGGTAATAATAATAACCGTCTTTAAAAACGTACATTCCATTTTTGTAATTACAGATATTTGTTATTGGAAACTCAATTATTCAACTATTTAGGGCCTACTTACGTTAGTGACTATTTTATAAGTAAAAAAGTAGTAGGTTTTATAACTAATTAAATTCTAATTGGTATCTAAATCCAAACAAAATATTACTTACCGATGTTAAATTGGTTACTCTAAACGAGATTATTGCAAATTTTATTTAAAATTCAGAGTAACATATATCCAGTGTCTAATGCAATTACAATGTGTAACAATGGTGAGACTTCATATAGCACTCCTCACACCAACTAAAAATATTTGTATAACAGATTATTGCATCGCTTCGTAACACCTATTGTATTTAAACAAAATAGATAACATATTGAATGTCCGAAGAAATACGAGTATAATCTACAATATACAAAAAGGAAAAAACTGAAAGTTAAGAAAATTGTTATTAAAAAGGTATAATTGATGGCATAATCATTGTAAAAAGAAAAGAAAGTTTTAACTAATTTAATTCTAGAATTTAATATCGATATAGTAGCACATCACTAGTTGGAGTTTGTTTATTCATTGAGTGTAATTATGTCTAAATACGGGTAGTGGCGGTGTGCCGGTCGCTGTAAGTGATATCAGAGAAGGTGAAGGGCAAAGGTGAGGCGCGCGAAAGTACACCCCGTGGGAGATCAAAAGTATTTCGTCCACTGACAGATATATTCATTTCACCATTGTTATTATAGTAGTGAAAAGTACAAAAAATCAATTAATTATAAACTGTAAAGATTTTAATTTTTGTATGTATAGAAACGACTCAATAAATACTGGGCCGGTTTAAAACTTACACCTTTAGAAAAGTAATTTATCTATGAGGAACATAGGCTATATTTTTTAATTTCACGCGGACGGAGTCGCGAGGAACAGCTAGTATACTATCAGAGCACGCGACGCGAAGGATCGTATTACGGCGCGCCCCGAGATTTGATTAGTTCAGTAAACATCGAGTGCATGTATTTCACGGTGCGGTGGCGTGGGCGCGGCGCTGCCTACCCCAAATGTACGCGGTTATACGGTCAGCGCACGCGGCGAGCTGTCTCGATGATTACTCGTAGGTCAACTAACCATATATTCTATAAATATTAATTTAGTATCTACTTAGATTTGTATACTTAGTGTGTGCTAACAATTTGCTAAATGGCGACTAAAGGGAGCACTTAGTGTACATTTATTACGAGAAATGTACAATAGACAATAATAGTTTTATTATCTAAGTTACAAAATATTCGTAGATCTAACAGTTGAATGTTTTCTCGTCAATTTGTAAATATAACAATTTTCCTTGTCTGCATCCTTATTGGATTAAATCCAATTGAGTCGCAACCAAATAAATCTATCGTTTACCGTTTGATTTATGTTGTGTGTCCGATGTGTTGAGAGTCCGCGGAGCTGATGAATGTCCTGGCTCTGACCTGCCTCAGCCTCACCTCACATTCTTGATTGCATTGAATTTAAAATTGCATATTTTAAGATATCAGGTTAAAACACTAGAATTTACCTCTCTTTACGTACTTAATATTAAAAAACGTATTTCGTAATTGATATTATGATGTCAATTATCTTAGATAATCTACTTTCTATAGAAATTATGAAAATAACGCAAGATATATTTAAAAAATAATCACGTAGTTATGATCTGTGATATGAGTTTTTCGAAGTATTCCAGTAGTTAACACGTGCGGAAAATCCTCGTAAAAGTAAATTAAATAAATGTAGATTTAGAGGTTACCGGGGCATGTTTACGAATACATTTAAATATTTACTTTAAAGTAAGGACATAGATTGATAAGGAACATAATGCCCTATGCTTAAAAAACCACTAGGTAGTGAATTCTAGCTCGAATGATCAGTTTTATAGAGGGATATGCCAATGAGGAGGCAATAAAATTACACCTTTTCAAAGATAGTAGCAGTTCAAATTCCGTTGTTATTGCAGGCACGACGTACCTGACGGGGGACAACTTTCTGGAGGCGCTGGACAACGGCGCTGAGCTGTGCCAGCTGGCGGCCGTCATACAGCAGCGCGCCAGGGAGGCACTCGACCAGGGCCTCGTCGTCGGGGTGAGTAACGTCCCGCACACTGAGACAATACGATTTAACAGAGCTATCTAACGCAATCTGTTGTGTCTTCCTGAAATCAGCTTAGAATGTTTAGTTGTTATCAAATCAAGAACATTTAGCTATTTCTAGAAAGTAAACGAACGTGACTATTATTAATGATTCAGGAATTCCATTATCCTCCAGTTGCGCATTGTGTTGAGTGATTACAAATAAATAATAGTAATGTACATGTAGCGTGTATGTGCCACGCCATCAGCCGCCTTCGAATAACATAGTCTATGTAGTGCTTATGTATTAAATGGTTTGTGCAGCCGGTGCCGCAGCTGCGCGGGCGGTGCTGGCAGAGAGCCGCGAGACGCAGTTTCTTCAGCCGCGACAATGCCGACAACTTCCTTACCTTCTGCCGCGACCTCGGCGTGCATGAGAACCTTCTCTTCGAGAGCGATGACCTAGGTAAACCTAGGGTAACACCATCTTTATGCGATAGTAGAATCCAAATATAATTTAAAGCGTCTTTCGAAAGTAAAGTACACCCAGAGTGCTCTGTAATGTATCGCGTGTGCGTTTCCAGTGCTGCACAACCAGCCGCGGCAGGTGGTGCTGTGCCTGCTGGAGGTGGCGCGGCTGGCGACGCGCTACCGACTGGAGCCCCCGGGGCTGGTGCAGCTGGAGCGGGAGATCGCGCAGGAGGAGCGCGACTCCGGCCTCGACTCCGCCATGTCCACCGCCGCCTGGCAGTTCCGCGACCTCACGCCGCCGCCGCACGACCCACGCGACACGCAGCCCGACGAGACACACAAGTCAGTAGTCCTTGCTCTTTTATCGTGAACCATGTGTACAAGGGGCGTATGACCCTCTTATAGCAATTTTGTCATATCCTATATTGTATAAGACGCGTAAAACGAGAACTTTAATGTGATGGATTTCAACACATGTAATTTAAATGTTCACGTTACACACAATGTTTGTCTGATCATTACACGCTGCATATGATAGAGAGACTGAGAGCACAAGCGCCGAGCCCCGGCCGCCGCCGCCCCGGCACGCGGACTTGTAAGTTGTATAATAGTTTGATACAGGTATCGAGGAGCCAAGAAAAATAAATTCATCCATCAAAATATATTTAATTACGTCATTGTTGTAGGTGGAAGCTTAAATTTGTTTTAAAATCATTGATTCTTGTTAACAGGCATACAGCAGAGCCATCCGCGACGTCACAGGACCAGAATGATTGTACGTATATAACACGACAAAAAATAGACCGCATAAAATAACATATGAAGTGATTATGTTCGTGTGTGTGTGCAGGCCAGCTGGGCGCAGACAACACGGACGCGGAGAGCACGCGCTCTGACGCCGCCAGCAGCGACTCCGACGTCCCTCTCAGACCCACCAACGAGCTCGACAAGCGGGTCAGTACTTCCTCCTACTGTTGAGGTGTTCTAGTATATATTATCGTGATAGTATATAATGTGGCGACGTGTGACGGCAGGTGGCGCTGGTGACTCGGCTGCTGGAGCGCGGCTGCAGCTGCTCCTCCGCGCGCTGCTCGCGGCTACTCAAGGTCAAGAAGGTGGGCGAGGGTCGCTACAACATCGCCGGCAGGAATGTCTTTATACGGGTACGCATCGCTACGAATGATAAAAAAAGTATTTCACTACTCCACTGGTTGAACATTGTTACTTGACGGGTATTGTAATGTTACAGCTTCTGAAGGGGCGGCACATGATGGTGCGCGTGGGCGGCGGCTGGGACACGCTGGAGCACTTCCTGTCGCGCCACGAGCCCTGCCAGGTGCGCCTCGTGGCGCCCGCGCACATGGCCGGCGCCCCGCCCTCGCCCCTCCCCGCACCTCTCCCCGCCGCCGCCGCATCCCCCACGCCGGACCTCCCGCTCGACGAGCTCGACGCGAAGCTATCTCCCATTAGAATCTCCCCGGCCACCAGCAAAACCTCAGTAGCCAGCAGGGACCGCTCCGGCACCACCACACCGGTAGATAGCAAAGCTTCCACTAGCGGCAAGTCTTCCCCGACGGGCGGGGCCGCTCCGAGCAAAAAAGAAGGCGGCGTGGTCTCTTCCACGCCGAACAAGGCACGCCTAAAGTCCGCACTCACGCTGCCCATTAAAGCGGAGCCCCCGCGCGCCCGCAAGCAGTCCGCACCCAGCTTCAGCACCCCCAACACGCCCACCAATCGGTCGACCCGCGCCCCCGGCGAGCTCCGAAAGTCTCTCACTTCCAACACTTTGCTAAACGCGCCAAAGAAATCTAGAAGTATGAGCCTCGGGATGCAGAAGGACGACAAGCCGAGCGGCGCGGAGCGGCCGGTCAAAGGCAAGAGCCGCAGCACGACCGTGACGCCGGCGCCCACGCCAACGCTCGGGAGCCGCAAGACGCGCAGCCAGAGCCTCGCCTCCACGCCCGTCAACGAGCCGCGCAGGACCTTCGCCGCGAGTAACGGACACGCCAAGAAGACGCGCAGCATGAGCCTGGCCACGACGGCGGACTTCGGCAAGCCGCTGGTGAAGAGTGTGTCGCTGTCGACGGGCGGCGCGCCGATGACGCAGGCCGCCATCGAGGAGAGCATCCGACTGTCGCTGGCCGCCACGCTAGTCGACGACTCCTGCCCCAAGAGGCCCTTCCTGCACATCAAAGCCAAATACAGAAGTCCGCCGCCGCGGGAAGTTCCCCCCAGATAACTCCGCTCCGTGCATTCCACTAGTTGTACAGTCTGACGCGAGGCCGAGGGGCCGGGGGCGGAGCCGGGGGCCGCGGGGCCGGGAGAGCCTCACATCGCGAGCTAAGCATTAAGTAGATCTCCTAAGTAATCTCATTTGTTTAACCACGTAGCTATAAGTTGCAAATCACGTTTATTAACTCGAAGGAAGCCTAGTCATAATGAGTTCTTTTTTAATATTGTATGTACTTTTAATTGTAATTTAATCGTCATCATAATTTCAGTATCATTTTTAATTTTTTATTTAATTTATAATTTTTTTAATCGATAGTCGATACCAACATTATTATTTTCAAAATTTAAATTGATATTTGTTAAAGTTTTAGAAGCGCTGCCAATCGCGCTTCGTGGTGTAATAAAATATTTTCAGTTTTATTTTGTTTTGTTTTTTTTTTATTATTAATTAAAATTCTATACCGTGCAATGCTGAATGCTTACTTGCGTATTTGTAACGTATTTTTCAAAAAACTATGCTAATAAGTACCTATTTGCTAACTTTTAAGTGTTGTTAATTATATCGCATTTCATTAATTGCAGCAGCGTCAAATTGCACTTATTTTAGTAAAATCTTAGCTAAGAACTTCATAAAATCAATCTCAAGGGTACAAAAATGATTAAGTCCACATATATTTTCGTAAAATAGATAAAAGAAATATTTTTGCACTATAGCAATAGTTAGGGCACAACAACACCAAACAACCACGAGAAAATAAAAATGGCACCTACCATCTACATACTACAACATATAGTTTAAACAACGAAGGACAAGAGAATGATAAAATAATGAATTCTAGGTTTTAAGAATCTATAATAAAGCTTAGATATTAATGCGGGAGTGAGCAGACTTGTGCTCAGAATACTGATGTAGTTTTAACTTTTACTTAAACACGATTTTTAAATTTACACAATAATTAAAGTGTCACCAAATTATTCACTTCTTTCAGTATACGGTGCTTTATTTGCGTAGGAGCTATCAAATCAAATTATTTTAGATTCCCCATTGTTTGATAATTAATCTGCAATAATTTGTATGCTATTTTTTCGTTATTTTAAAAGTCTAGACCAAAAATAATGTTTTAAGTCGATAGTTTAATGTCGACAATTCAACCACACTTTGTGCCAACACTTTACAAATGTTTAACTTAATAAACTTTTTGATATTCAACATATCTTTTAATGTTGTTACAGCCACCTCTTCCTTTTGTTACATCTTATATTAAGAAGGTGTATATATCTTCTTGTGGTTTTAGAATTCTCGAATATAGCTTACAATATATAGGAATTTCTTTAAGTTGAGAAATATGGGGAAGGTCACAGTGTATACGCACCATTAGATCACCAGCAACCGTTCACATAGAGTTACAAAATGTACTTCACAAGGTTGATGGCTAAAGCACTTCATGAGTTGAGTGAAAACATCACAGAACACGGTCATGTTGCTTCGCACTGCAGTAGGTGAGTAAATATTATTCATTACTATAAAATTGTCCTATCCTGTAAATTTGTAGTTGTTAGAATTGTGGCAAATGGCATTCTGTTATACATGTTTACCCTTTTTATATATGTTCTAATATTTACGTGTTGTGTAGATTGGCGGTCCTCACGTGTCGCTGCCGCTGTGCGCGTCGGTGACTCCGCATCGCCGCCGTTACACCTACTACCACAACCTGTACAAGCCCATCTCGTACTGCATGCCGCGGCCGCAACCACTCAAAATGTCACTCGTTTGAAACTAAATTTGTTTTCTTTCATATCCTTCCGAATACTTTTTTATATCAACGTAGTAAAAAAGCATGCGGCTACCTGAATCCAATAGATTGCAAAGCGTTGCCTACCTATTACGACGGAGGACACGTTAAGAGCATATTTTCCCTTTCCTATACACCTCCACCATTTTTAATGCACTGCGTGCGAAGTCGTGAACAGCTAAACAGCTAGTTTATTAATATTTGTAATACCATTCCAACCAAGCTCTAGGCTTGTATAGGATATGGTTTAAGACAATAGTCGAATTGAGGGATTCGAACCCTTGATCGCGTGATCAGAAATCTGTACAGCTAACCATTAGGCTGTTGAAAATTAATTATTGCTATACTGCTGTGTGGAGGGTAAAAAATATTAATTGGTTAATATTATCTTAATGTGAACTAGACATAATGTTAAGTCATTAAAGCTGTCTAGATGGATGTCTAGGTTCAATGATTTGGCAAGAATGGTAGCTATATACGCAACATGAAACCTTTGAAATGGTTTCAAGTTAAATATATATACAGCAGAGGGCATAATCTAGCAAAGTTTTTAAAGAATACGAGAAAGTTTAGGAACCTATTTGAGAAAATCTTATAAAGTCGTTAGAAATAAATAAAACACGTAAAATAGACGTAATAGATTTTTATTAAAATACACTTATCTAATACTAAATATAAACAATACAAAGAAAAAGGAATGAATAAATACTGTTCCGATGTCAATTGATATTGTAAAAGCACATCAGCTTCAAATACATAACTTAAAATTAACTCTTCACTTAATGTATTAAAATCTAATCATTTGGCATTTTTATTTATTTTACAATTTTTAAACACTTTTTAAAAGAATTTTGCTTGTCGGTGAAATAGAGAAGTGTTCAGAATGTGCATTTGTTCATATAAATGCAAAAATGTAATTAATATCAAATATAACACTCTAAAAACACTAGATATAAAAGCATTTTAAAAGCTTAGGCAAGTTGACATTCCCACAAAATACAAAACAATTTTAATATTCAATGTTTATTTTATCACAAGAAAATAAACAATTATTTGGGAATATGTTGAGATATTAAAAATTGGTCCAGTTAGGAAATATACATTTTTCTCCAATTCAAGTTTTAATAAATCGTGGGAACATCATTTGAAAAGTAATCTTAACAACCTCACAAATAAACGCGGCATAAAGTTAAACTTGGGAATAAACCCAGAATAAGCAAATAAACGATATATAAAAATGTGTTTAGTACACATTTTTATACCGCGTTTATTTGTGAAGGCCTTATGTCTTTAAATAAATGTCATTTTAATGAAAACTTAAAATAAATTCGATATAAATTTAATGATTTCAAAACACTTCAATAGTCAACTAAATCGAGTGGAATTCTTTATTCTAATGTCGTGGATATTGTTTAAAATAAATCTTAATTCTATTATATAAATTAATAATAATGCAATATGAGATTATTATTCAGATATAACGATTACAAAAGTGCACTTGATTTAAATATATTGCAATGTGTTGATTTTGAATTATTTCAGAACAAAATTAATTTAAAAACTTTACACTTTTATAATATTTAATAGTTTTATAGCTAAAAAACTTTATGTCGATGTTTATTGGATCAAGTGTTAAATTAAACTATAGAAAATCGTTAATTCTGTTTAGATAACTGCATCGTCAGCGAAATAATTTCGTTTATATCAATTTAATAATGCATTTAATGTTTTATTTCTCATGTCAGAGCTGGACACGCGACGCGCCCAATTGTATATTATCTGTCGCAGTGTTGCCAATTAAAATACTTACCGTATTATGTTTTATTAAATATCAAATGATCATAATTTATTATAGAATAACAATGAATCGTAGATCGCAAAAAGCCGTTGTATCTGTTTCGGCTGCGGTTGCAGCCGTAGTAGGCCTTAGATTTTATAATATGATGTCTCGAAAGCCGTAAAACACGACAATTGCCATAGCATTGGCTACACTGTGTAATCGTATGTGTTGTTGGTGTCGTTCTATGTGTGTAAGAGAGAGAGAGAGAGAGACTACTTCTTCTTGCTCTTGCCGAGGGTGAGGGTGTGGTGCGCCTGCGCGCTCTGCTGCTTGCGGCGGTTGAACTCGATCGTCTCCTCCTCTATCTTCTTGCGCATCTCCTCCAGACGCTTCTTCTCCTCCGTGTGGTCCTTCTTCAGCTTGTCGAATTTCGCGTGCAGCTGCAAATTAGAATTCATTGCTTTTTAATTGTATAAGGTAGCAAGCAAACAAGCGGACAAGCGAACATCTGAGTTCAACAAATCTGTCTTTACTCAATAGTAGAACTGATGTAAGAGGATCGCTTCCTCCATGAAACGGTGTCGTGTAGCACAAGTAAAGCACAGTAGCGTGTGGGGTACCTCCTTCTCGGCCTCCTTGAGCTCGGCCTCCTTCTCCTTGACGCGCTGCACGAACATCTGGCGCATGTCGTCCTCCTTGTGCTGCAGGTCGGCGAGGTGCGCGCTGCGCTTCTGCTCGAAGGTCTGCTGGAAGGAGACGGGCTTGTTGTCGGCGTCCACGTCGCTGAAGCCCATCTGCTGCAGGCGGCGGCGGCGGTACAGCTCGTAGTGGCGCGCGTGCGTCTTCTCGCGCATGTCCTCCATGTTGGTGCGGATCAGCATCTCGCGCAGCTTCACGAAGTCGCAGTGCGACTCGTTCTCCACTGCCGCGCACAGACAGACAGACAGACACGTCAATACGTATATACAACTGACGCTATACGCTAACAAGTGCCAGTAATTGCATAAAAGCTATGACTGGCCGTTGCAACTGTCAACTGTACTAGACATGTGGAAACCGGGCATTAGTTATAATTAAAACACAAGCGTCACTAAGAGACGCTCCGGAGGACTTCATTCATTCTAAATATAGGGATCATAGTGAGAACATCGTTTGAACTATATGAACTTCAACGTCAATCGATGATAACCTGATTGAGAAGTAATAGGAGGATGTTCCTTGAATTCGGTATTACTCTGATATCAAGCCACGTTATATATGTATGAAAAAAGGTCGGTTGGTACAGGAGTAATTGCTTATTTGATTGTCGTTAGTTTTAAGAAGAGAAGTTGATCCGGTAGCGGCGTACCTTGCACGGTGCCCCAGGGGTACTGGCGCGCGCGCACCGTCTTGTTGCCGAGCTTCACGAAGTCGGTGCTGCCGACGACGGCGAAGGGGATGTGCGAGTTCATGGCGCCGTTCACCTCCGACACCGACTCGTCGTCCACCGGGAACTGGTAGATCTCCACGCCGTTCGCCTGCAGCTCCTGCATTATCTTACTCTGAAACACACACACAAACAATTATTAATGTTATAACGTTATTAGTAATATTCGTTTCACCCTGTAGTACAAACAATAAATTGCGGCAACATAAATGCTTTCATGCCGTTGTTAAAATACTTAGCAAAACTACAAATTTACAATCATATCATTTTCCCTATTTACTACTACATCTTGTTGTGAACTATTCATCTTCCCGCGCGATTTTCGTTTTTTCCACTTTTTTACAACTCAAAAAGGAAAAATGTTAGTGGCCAGTATGCCACCTCTATAGCATAATTCATAATCTTTGTCCACTAAAGGATTCGGATGTATCATTCTTAAAAAAAAAAACCAGAAAAATGAATGTCTTCTTTTTGGAAGTCAAATAAAAAGTGTCTAAATGTTACATAAATTAACTTTTTGAACATTATAATCAGTAGTGCAAGGTATAAAGTTATAAATCATCTATTTCAATACATACCAAGGCAACAATAGGGTCAAGTAAGATTATCCTGCAACAATGAGTCATAAGTACAACAATGAGACCAACCTTGAACTTCTGCAGCTCCGTCTTGGAGATGGTGTCAGCCTTCGCTATGATCGGTATGATGTTCACCTTCGTGTCTAATTTCTTCATGCACACCAAGTCTATTGACTTTAGACCATGCCCTGGAATAAAAACATCAATAAATATTACTAATTAAACTATAAAAATATTTTCAAGATTAATGTGACTTTGTAGGTTTTATGAGTTTCACTTTCTACTTTAGTAGAACAATATATGACCTATAACAATTAAATGCATGTCCTTGACACTAGCCAGTAAGTACAGACATATTCAGTTCGCGCGCGACATACAAACATGTCCTCGTAATTGGTCACTGTCCTCGATCTTACTAACGGTAATTTAACTTTTACTTATGAAATACTACATAAATACCCTGATATTTCATGATTTCTTTATAAAATATTATGTTATGTAGCTTGTTAGACTATCTAGGTCACAAATAGATATGTGAATAAACTCTGAACTGGTGTAAATGGTTTTAGACTTGAATTGAGCTATGGCTCAACAAATAAATTTGCAGATCATAGCTCACTTATGCATTTATAACTATATGCCAACAAGCCAAGTGTGCTAAGTGAACTGCAACTTGAAATGCTCTTCATGATTTCATGTACCAATTTAACTGAGTTAGTCCGTGAGCTGATATTTAAATCATTAGTTTTATTTGAGTTCCGCAAATACTTCTAACAATTTAAAAAGTTAAGCTGTTTAATTAGTAGATATTTATATTTAAGTTAATGAGTTAAGATTTGCTGACTAGTGGTTAATATATTTTATATGTATAGTTTATATTTAGTAGATCAATGTTATGAGAATGTGTATAAACAAACACATCAAGATGTTGCGTGCATTGTGCTGCAACAGGAACTTATATTTTGTTTACATCACACTCATTGTTAGCAATTTGCAATGAGTTTTATGTCGTGTTTGAGACAATGATAATCTTTACATGAATTAAATGAATGGAATGCAATATAGTTTCATATAACTACAATTTCCTTTATATACACGTTTGTGAAAAGGCGTTATCCTGTTAATACGCGTTATTGAACGGAAAAAATTAATTAGTGAAATAGGTAATTTTGGAGTTGAGAAAATTGATAACTTCAACTGTTCATTTTTAAATAGTCTATTAAAGTATAATTTTTAACAACAAAATAACAGAATAATGCATTTTTACAGACATGACGTGAAAGGTTAGTGAACTATTAGAGTCCACTCTAGTAGTTTGTGTGTGCAGTTTGTGACATGAATATTAATAGACCACAACTGATATCTAACGAAAGTTATGACCCACAATAAATTAAACCATGTCAACTAAACATATAGGAGAAATAGTTATTTTTTAATGGGAAAAATATTAATACAATAAAGCCTACTCTATTGCACCCATACATTAAATAGTAACCCTTAGTGTAGGATAAAAATGAGTCACCTACACTTAAGGCTTTCCTATGTTTCCTTAAACTTAGGAAAGCCTTAAGTAACTATTAAATTGTTCTTTAGCTTAGAAAATATATCTTACCTGTTGGACAGATGAAGTACAGACAGACATGTAGACGGCTGTCATGGTAAGTTGGGAGGGAGCGCTTGATCTTCAACTCCTCCTGCAGGTACGCCTCAAACTGTGCATCTATGTAGTCCACCACCGCCTTGAAGCTGTCCTCCTTGTTCACTTGGTCCCCGTAGCCCACAGTGTCACAGATTGTCAGCTAGATAAATAAATAGTTTAACATTTGATGTCAATTCCAGAATATAACAATTAACAGTAGTAGAGCTTGCAAATAAATAGTTTGAAGGAATAAGTCAACCATACAGAAGACAGATGTGAAGTGGAAGCAATTCCGAGGCCATACTTTAATCCTCTTTTCTTATAAGTAAGGTACAGAAATGAAGGTAAATTTGACATAGGTATTAAATATCTTCTTTCTGTGCATCTCTAACCTCAGTTAATTCAAAGTAGGCAACTGCAAATTTGCCTATTTCAAATAGTTCATGTGACTATATATGACCTTTTAATAGTGTTGTCTTAAATGGTTTACCTTTAATCTAACGCTGCTTTCTTGCAACTCATATGTGTGTGCCTTCAACTTGACTGTGGGCAGGTTATGTGGGCTTGGGGATGACTCAAAGTTGGTGTTGAACAAAGAGTCCATGAGTGTTGATTTACCGAGACCAGTCTCACCTGGATACAAAATAAACTTTAAATATATCTAAATACAATTAGACTGTAAACAGTTTCTTGGGCTCACAAACTAACTATGGCACCATACTGGTAATAACGTCATGATTTCGATGTTCAAATATGTTTATATGACAAGTTAGTATCACTCAAGGCGCTGTGGTAAGTATGTTTAAATAAACAAGTACAAAGTAGATAACGCCGGCCGTACAAGTGATTAGTCAAACATTATAGCAAGTGATTCATAACTCACCAATGCAAAGGATGTTGAATACGAATCCATTCTGCACGCTTTTGTTCACCAGCTGATCCGGAAGGCTGTCGAACCCGACGTGCCCCGACAACTTCAGAGTTCGCATTGCGGACTCCGCCTTTTACAAAATCAACTTTGAAAATCAAAGATAAAACTATACTATAACTTTAGATTTTACCTGGGTACTTACGCCGAATTTGTTTAACAATTATTCAAATATTTATTCGCCATAAACAAGAGAATGGTTTAATTACTGGTGACGTTATTTCTAGAATTTATAAATAATAAACCTTAAGAACGCCCAACGATGTTTTCTTTTTTTTAGTTAATACTTCCCCATTAATAACGAATCACTTAAAACCGCACATAAGTTATTTATACAAAATAAAACGTTCCGTTGACAAATTAAATTAGTTATTAATAGTTATTGCATATGTAACTTAAATAGTTTAATTAAAACTTACTTTAGGAAGCTCAACCTCGATCGCCGCCATGTTTATTCGGCCTGTGACTGACGAATACTGAAGTTGAATGCAAATGCAAAATGCAGCGCAAGTCCGACTAAGCCACACTTCACGTCACAAGACTTACAACACTAAAAAACGTCAAAAGATATTGGTTATTTGATTTAAAATTAAATAGCAATTTATTCAAAAAATCGCTTGATTTAAATAATTAAAACGTAATTTTACAAATGCTTTGCAGTGTAAACCAATCATTTTTTCTCCATGTTAAAAAATAAAATTCTCTCTTTGATAATATACTTCTAACTTTTTAAATGTTGGTGACCATGTTTCATATGTTGCAATTAGATTTTTTTTGCTTAAATGCTAGGTAGTTTTGAAGACATTTTGTTCAAAGGCACAAAAGTGTTTAAGGTATTTTAAAAACTATTTTTGTTTTGAAGTCATACAGCATATAACTGTGTGAATTGATTTGAAACAAGGTCTTCCGAGATTTGTTAGTCATGATTTTTGTAGTTTCATTGGAGGTTTTTAGATTGAAATTGCAGTAAAGCTTGAATTAAGTTAAAAAAATACAACGTTCCCGCTAATCCCACAACCTAGATAACGATAAATTACTCATTTAAACTCCCAACAAAATAATATCGATTGATTGGGAGAAATTGACACGAACACACTTGTAATGGCAACACCTTCCAAATCCAAAATGGTAGAAAGCGACATTGGTGCGTTATCATGTGAGCCGATGGAATAATGTTTTCTTGAATTTTTTCGTCGTGAGTGGATTAAATTTTGTGTGTAAGTGAATAGTGACATAGTTAAATATGGCGGACTTAAAGTCGCCGCCTTTTAGTGAAATTACGAGACCTGAGGAAGTAGTCAGGATGACGACGAACGATAGCCTGAAATTTGCGGTCCTTATCGGCTTGATTGAAGTCGGCCAGGTGACCAACCGGGAGGTGGTGAACACCGTCTTACATCTGGTGAGTGTAGATGATCAAAATGTCTCTTATAAACCTTCTATTTATGAAAGAATTGTTACAATTCTTATTAGATTCGTCTTGGAAAGGTTAGTGCGGACGATGAGTTTCTTTACTCACGTCAAATTAAACAACTTGTTTTATAAGATTTCTCCTTGTTGTTTGTTAGCAAACATTGTTTCTGTTAATTGATTGTGATGAACAAGGTCTGTTTTCCTTGTTTTTATCGATCGTTTTGTATTGTGAATGGTGGAATAGTGCGTCGGAGGTAGCCGGCGAGCGTTTGTTTTGATTCCTGTATTAGCTTACGACGGCATGTAAACGATAAATAAACCGGTATTGCTGTATTATCTAATGCTCATAAGTATAATTCTATTATTAGGAAGCAATTCCACTTAAATTTCCCTGCTTTTATCTATTACTAAAGAGGTTTAGGTTATCGTAAGTTTACGTTAGGTCACCAGTACGTACGACTAAGTAAGGGCATGAAAAAAATGGGTTTTATTACATTCTGGCTGTGGTTTTTTTAATATAGTCGTAAGGTTTTTTTTTTTTTTTTCATATAAATCGCATGGTTACATGATGTGACTAGGAAAGTCGCATAACGTGGTATTGAATATTGGTGTTACGAAATTATATTTGCCTGCTTATTAACTCACTCTCCATCTAGATTGAAATCTAATCTAGATTTATTTGATTTGTATTTTACGATCTTTTATCCCATTCCACATTTTATATCCGAGAAAGGAATAATGTTCCTGTGCAGTGACGCTGACGCGGCATAAAATTGACCAGAGATCCAAGCCAGTTACTTAACAATGAAAATTATATAGCCAATCATAATCCATAACAAATAAAAACAATATGCGTTACGTCCACTATCGACTAACTTATTTACTCACAACATTAAGCTGTTAAAGATATAAAGACATGTTGTAAACCTATCGTTAATTAATCAACGCTGATTATCATGATATCTAAATAATGAGTTATCATATGGCATTATACTGATATAGTGTTTTGCTATAGTATGTCGAAATGTTTCCCAATGAAAACAATTTCTAAAGTAACTTTAGAGTTCAATTACGTGAAATATGCTAGTTATTGTTTATTAATTTTGTTTGTAATAAGTAAGTTTTTACGGCTGAGTTGAAACGAGATTAAAATGTTAAAATAATACGAAGCAAATTGTAAGCGTGTGCTTAAGTATTCGGAGTGTAGTATTCGGCTGTAAGGTTACGACATATGTTTATATGTATTAACAATAAGTTATCTGTTGTAATTAAGTCCATGGAATGCTTGCAGGCCGTGTATTAATTATTCAGTATTCGCGCGTCGTTACTGCCGCGTCAGCCTCGGCCGACGGATTGTCAGTGTTTGCTAAACTGGGAACAATGCAAGACTATATTACACTGACCGGGCACAATGTAGCAGTATAAAAATATTATTTACTGCATGAGTACTTATTAATTAAAAAAAATTGCTTGATAATTCTGTATAATGGTTAAATATGGTATCAACTAAATTAACCCCTTGTATACTGCAATCTTTTCGTATAAAAATGTAATTTGCTAAGCGAGTCGGTGGTACCGAACACGTTAATATTAATCGATTCGCTCTTTTGAAGGAGGAAATGTTAAAAAAAACAGTTGTTTTTATTAAACATATTTAAATTAGTAAGTTAGGGAAAAATACGCTGACCTCATTACTAAAAGTTATTTCAACATAGTGACGTAAGTATTGGCAGAAACATCGTCTTACATATAAAATAAGCTAAATTAACGCCCGAGATAAAGATCTAGACGACCGAGGCTGATAACGGGAGTGGCGACCTAAGATTATAGGGCTTCTTTGTTATGATAGCGAGAAAATTTATATTTATACTTCTATACTAATTTTATGAAGAGGAAAGATTTGTGTTTTTGTATGTATTGAAATAACTTAATTGTTATCTTCGATATCAGTGAGTTACATAGGCTATATTTTTTAATTCACGCCGATGTTGTTGCGAGTTACAGCTTGATAAATATATAACATAGCTTACTCGCGACTCCGTCCGGGTGAAATTTAAAGATAATAATAAAGAAATGAAAAAATATAGCCTATCTTACTAACAGATAAATCACCTTTCTAACCGTGAAAGAATTTTTAAAATCGGCCCAGTAGTTTTTGAGCCTATTCATTACAATCAAACAAACGAAGTTTTACTCTTTATAATATTAGTATGGACAAGAAATAAAAACGTAGTAATCATTTAGTAGAATTAAAAATAGAACTCGGCAATGTAACCGTTGGTTTACACTGCGTAAGCATTCGCATAAAACATACAAACTGTGACATAAAAGGTGTTATTAGCACCACGTCTTGTAGTGTTTATTGCATTTATAGGAATACTCCGTCGTAGAGTTTCGACAATCAGCTCATTTTGCATGCTATCTGCGCGCCTAGCTTCCGTCAGTTACGTAACTAGGCATTTAGTAATAAAATGTGTTTTACAGACTACACCCTACATATATCAATGTTTTATCTATACTAATATTATAAAGAGGAAAGATTTTTATTTTTGTCATCGAAATAACTCAAAAACTACTAGGCCGATTTCAAAAAGTCTTTCAACATTAGAAAGCTACGTTACCGCTGAGTAACATAGGTTATATTTATAAATTGCTCGTGAACGAAGTCGCGAGCAATAGCTAGTTGTAGATATTTTTGGTTAGAAGTTAATCGTTCCAAGAATTTATTCTTTGGCAGCATTGTTAAATTAATTAACATTGAATGCTTGGTGAGAAGAGAACAGAATAGCTGTGAATTTGGTTCGTAATAGTGTCTATGCCTTCGTCAGTTGTCGAGTTCGATTAATATAGTCGATGACGGAAAAAATACCTTGTAAATGTGTATCTCAAAAAAGAAAACTTCGTTAATTAATCTATAGTAATATTATGAAGAGGAAGTATTTTGTTTTGGAAGTATCAAAACTACTCGGCCCATTTCAATTATTTAACCATTAAAAAGCTACGTTATCAATGAGTAACAAAGACTATGTTTTTTTTACATTTTTTTAATTTCACGTGGACGAAGTAGCAAGTAACAGTTAGTAATATCTATTTATAGTTAAAATGAGAACAATTTTTGATTATTTGTGAAATGGACAATATAGTCAAATATTCTCACGCCCATCGTAGTTATTGATTAGGCTTATCAATGATAACTTTATCAATAATTTTCACTTACCCATAGATAATGATAGTATTTATTAAATTTCACACGTACTATTGTATTACGGTTATTACTTTTATTTTTACTAACGTGTACAGTTAAAGTATGGATTTTCATTCAAAATAAATAATCGCAATTTCATCTCTATGTCTCTAAAGTGCGAAAGTTTAGATGTATGGATGTTTGTTAGAGTTTGTAGTCTAAACGTCTAAAAAGACCTCGGTGAAATTTGTCATAGATGTGATGTCGTTACTTATTATCTGAGTAGAGTGACTTCAAGATGTAGGATAATCTGGAAAAGCACAAAGGCTATTTACTTGTCTTTTTTTTAGTTCCACGTGGACGGAATTGCGGGCGAAAGCTAGCTATGATAAAGATTGTTCATAAAGAAGCCCTAAACAATCTTCATGCTTGTATTAAAAGAATATCACTTTAGTAACATAGTGTGCACGTTACTTTAAGTCGCGTTGTGTTGCACAAGCCTTATCGCGGTAGTGTTGCGTCATACAACATACACTATGTCCTGACATACTGCTCGAGATTTAAAAATATTCAAAACAATTCGCTCAGTTCGTAATGAATACGACTCGAGATCGTAGCTTCAATTTGTTGTGAAGTAATGTCACCTACATTATATTTTTGTTAGAAATGTGTGTTTACATTACAATATTCAATGATGATACAGATTAGAATGACATACGTTTAGAAATCTATACATTAAATGTAATTTCTCTATTAAAGCGTATGTACATGCCGTTCCCGCCACATTTTTGCCCCCTTCTCTTAAATGTATTTCTGTACCCATCAATTTCTGGATACTTAAACTTAAGTAATACATATATGTACTATGTAAAATAGAAAAATATTTATGTTAAAGATAAATGTTGGTGCAGTGCAGGCTCTGGCCTCTTCAGCCGATATCCTGACGACTGGCAGTTGGCAACGCGCCAGGCGAAGCTTCCACTTATTACATTTTATAAAATTAATGATTTCGAGTATCCTTACAATACGGCCCTGTTTATTTTGTTTTCAATATTCTTACTTATAGTCGTTACTTATTAACTGAGTAAAGTGACTTCAATGCAAGCATTCAAATATAATAAAGGTTGTTGCAATTAGTACTTTCAGACTGTGCACATATTTGATTAAACTATCGCACAACTATTTAGTCTCGCTTTAATTCCTACACGCTTATATGGAGGTGCGCACATTATTTAATTTTTAGTACAACTAAACAATTGGGTAGCGTAACAATCGACAATCGCAGACAGTTGTGCGATAGTTTAATCAAAGGTGTGTGTCCGCTCTAATAGTGTAAACAAAGCGAAGGCGATTTACGTATGACGTCATCAGCATATTGGATTTGTGTCAAAGTTGTGTGTATTAGAACGTCATTATTGTCCTCGCACACACGCTGGTAGCTAACAAAGTGATGAGGCATGTGTTTACCACTTTATGTGTTTAAGACGACGGTCTTGTTGGCAGTTAGTATAACAGTTTGTGCTCAAGATATAGGTCCTTGTTCTAAGATATTGTAAATGCTAATGTAATCTTACTATGTTACTAATATTATAAATGCGAAAGTTTAGATGGATGGATGGATGTATGGATGTTTGTTAGAGGTTGTAGTTAGAGTTAGAGTTTGTTTTTTTTTAATTACACGCGGACGGAGTCGCGGGCCAAAGCTAGTTAAATAATATAGGAAAGAAACAAGAATCTTACATATACTAATAAATGCGAAATGATAGATTTATTAGAACGTATCTCCAGAAACGTTACATGGATCT